TATCAACTTACTGTAAAAGAGAACCAATTTAATAAAGTGCAGGTTATACAAATTTTGATATATTTTTTTAATAAATTTGTAACTAGCTCATTATACTATTTTCTTAATGACGAATTCTAAAAAATTTTATAAACTTTTTACTGTGACGTGATGAAATTTTGATTAACTCATAATAAAATTGCAGACTTTATCATATTACTTTCTGTTAATAACAAAATTTTATTATAAAAGCAGAAATTTTTTATCTTTTTTTCAATAATATGCCTTCAAAAAAGCGAAAAATTATTCAAAGCGAATTATCCACATCCTCATCCTCATTCTCTTCTCAATCCATCTAACACCAATCTCAATCCTCTTCCTAACCTGTCCAACAACAATTATTTGCTCAATCAGAACAGCAATTCTGATGAATACAATCTAAATCCCAACCTAGCCAATCTGATCAACAATCCCGACAATCCCAATCTCAACCAGTAACTCCACAAAATCAACTGATGCCTGAACCTGTAGCATATACAATTTAGACTATTTCAAGTCCGATAGTTCTTCCCGGTTTTTATTTTATAAAAAAAAAATTAACTATATAGAAACCTAGATTCTATACTTTTTAGTAATTATATAGTAATTATATCATAATGATATCGTTATAATATAGTTACTATATAATTCTGAAAATTATAAAATCTAGATTTCAAATTATTGATATTATTTTAATAAATTTAGCTTAAATTAATTCTGTTTATTTAAGATCTTACTACAGTTTTAAATTTTTTGTAATTGCACCTTCATAGGGATCGCACTACAACCCTCACAACTCTTCAAAGCCAATTTGGTCTTTTGACCAATGATTTGATTAACGATAGTATTAATGCCATGATGGCAGTGCTTTTCCTGAATACTGCAAGACGATTACGATCACGATCATCAACTCCAACCCTACCAGAAAATTTTTATTTTGATGAGTTAGAGGATTGGTCTTATTCACCACCACGTTCTGTTGTAGCAAGAGATAGTTATGAAGCTGAGATTCTTAAGGACAGACTGAATCTTCCTCCAAATTACTGTGAGGATGGAAATTTTCCATTGGTTCCATGCCATGCTCATGACGTACCTGCATCGTTTACGAAGAATGGAAGAAACATGTCTTCTAAACAACTATGCGAGTATTATGCAGTTAATAATGTAATAATATTTTATTTAATTTTATAACTAGTGATGTGCATTTTTTAGTTCTTTTCAGCATCTGATTGGTTGGCAAAAACTTTAGCGTACAGATGCACATCACTAAAAGAAAAGTCTTTAGTTGTCACGCATCATATATTGAAATAATTGCAAATATGTTTTCTTGCACTATAATGCATGACAATTAAACAACTTTTTTTAACTCTGGCTTTCTAAACTCTACCAGGGTGTTCTTCAAAAATATGGATCATGTAATGGTGCCACCTATGTTTAATATGCACAATATGCAAATATGCAATATAGGCAATATAGGCAATACAGGGTCAAAATTTTTATAGCAATAGTACTTTAATCCAGTACTATTCATCTGCTGCAACTATGGCAGATGGCTCTGGTAGAGTTGGTTATCTATAAACTATTTATACATGCTTTTTAATTTAATAAATTAATGATTAAAAAACATAATTATACCGATACCTTCTACATATTAATAAGGAGTTCCCAAAATGGATCAACAAACTCTTTAGGAGTGAATTGCATGCATTATTTATCTGATGCAGAAACCTTGATGACTCCAAATCTAATGGGGTAATCAAGAAGTTTCTAAAAAACTTGGTTCCGGAAATAGGTGAACAAAATTTTGATGATGCAGCATCAAAATTTCGTTCTACCTTTATCGAGTGGCGGCACGTTCTTTAGACGAGGATCAACAAATTGTTTGAGGATTTGCAGAGAAAAGTGAAAAGGTAAAATAATTGTTAATTATTATATATTTTTTTAATTTTATTTTATTTTATATTGTGCTTCTTTTATTATCTAGTGATGAGATTGATAAGATTTTTGCTACAATGACGGCGAGAGATGTTCAAAAAGTGTGGCAGCAGTTCCTCGTTAACATTAATATTCCTGCAATTCGTGAAGACTCTACCATTGCTAATAATTTTGAAAAGTTACTTTCTGATGTAGTTCGTGCTGGACTATGGGTGATAAATTTTTTTCAACCAAAAGATGCTCAAGCAATATTTTTTAACTTAAATAATGACTTGTATACTGTTAATTTGAATGTTTTAACTCTTAGTGGTTGGAATGTTGCATCATCAATTGATTTAAGTCACTACAACTTTACGGCTCAAAAAGGTCCTGAAGCTATTGAATAGGTTTTTCTTATTTTTGCTTTTTGCTTCTGTTTTTTATTTGCTTTGTTTTTTTTACTTTTTTTTAAATGTAATTAATATATAGTTACTATATAGTGAATTAACATAATGCATGAAAGCTTTTTTCTTTATATAATTATAAATATAACATCTTATAATTACTAGACTAATTATTAATATTTTACTATAATCAAAAATGTCTTTTCTGCATTTTAAGTTAGAGTTAGATTAGTAAAAAAAATAAATAAATAATAAAATAAAAAAACATAATTACTATATAGGAATCTAAATACCTTAATGTAAGAACTGCATAGTAACTACATAGTTACGATGTAGTTACTATTAAGCTTAATGTTAATAGTAACTATATAGTGAACATGTAGTTATTATGTAGTTCTGCGCATTAGTAACTATGAAGAAAACAAGATTCTGTTAATATAAATTAAATAATAAGTCTTACGATATAGAATAGATGAATTGCTAATTAAACTTACCTATACTATTGTAATTATTAACTAGTTTATTTATTTACTTTGCATAACAAATTATAAGAAAGATT